GCCCAAGTGACATTGGTTTCATGCATAAGTGAATTTTCTGCGATTTTTGGGACAGGAATTGACGCGATATATCACACTTGTTATTTTACATATTTTTCCTGATTTTTGTATTGAAATTTCCTTGGTTGTTTTTTTTTTCTTTTTTTTGGTATGTATTGTGTTAAATTGTTTTGTGTTGATTGTTTCTTTACTCTTTGTTTTGTTCTGTGTTTGTTTGTATTTGTAGTACATGTTTTCGGGATATTTGTGTCATAAATCGTTGTCTTCTGAGTCTACTTTATTTGCTGCTTGTTTTTGTAGTGATTTTTTGTGTTGTTTGATCTACTTTTATTATTTTGTTTGGTCTTGTTATTGTTTGGTTTATTTTTGTTATTTATAAAGATGTGGTGGTTCATTTGGAGTTGGGTGGTTTGGCTTAAGTTGCTTCTTTTTTTAAAGAGTTGGGTTAGGTTTCATTCTTGTTATGGTGGTTTATTGACTTGTGTTGTTGTTTCTGGTTTTTAATCTGATTTTTTGGTTACAGGGTTTTTGTTTGTTGAGGTTTATTATTTTGTGTTTTTATGGTTTGCTGTTAAGTTGTGGTTGTTTCCATTTAGGTTGTGAGTGTATCGTGCTTTTTTCCAGAAGTGATTGGTTAGTTTATATTTTTGTTGAGTGTTGTAATGAAGTTTCTTGTGTTGTTTATTTGTTCTTTGTTTGGTAAGTATTGTGTTAAATTGGTTTGTGTTGATTGTTTCTTTACTCTTTGTTATGTTCTGTGTTTTTTTGTATTTGTAGTACAAGTTTTCGGGATATTTGTGTCATAAATCGTTGTCTTCTGAGTCTACTTTATTTGCTGCTTGTTTTTGTAGTGATTTTTTGTGTTGTTTGATCTAGCAAGATAACGACGCGTAGCCGGGGTCAGTTGGTGACCAATGGTGTGTTGTTGATTTAAAGGCCATTGCGCGTGTGGACTTAATTATACAACTGATTAGCACAAAATCTGGACTTGGTGGTGGTGGTGGTGGTGGTGGTGGTGGTGGTGGTGGTGGTGGTGGTGGTGGTGGT